CCCCAGCAGCCTGACTCCACCCAAAGCAGCCTAGACTCCACCCCCAGCAGTGCCGACTCCACCCCCAGCAATCCAACTCCACCCTAGCAGCCCTGACTCCACCCCCCAGTAGTCAGCTGTGTTTTTGCAGACTGAATTGTGTCTTCCCTGCCTCCCTCACCCCTGCCAATTCAAACATCTAAGGACCAACCGTCAATATGGCTGTTTTTGGAGATGGGGCGTTTAAGAAGCAATGAAGGTGAACTGAGGTCCTTCGGGGCCTTGATCCCATCGGGCGTGGCCATATAAGAAGGGGGAGAGACAGGAGCAATCTCTCCACACGCATGCACAGAGGAAAGGCTACACGAGGACACAAGAAGGTGGCTGTCTACAAGCCAGGGAGTGAGCCCTCACCGAACCCACGGATCTAACTTCCAGCCTCCAGGGCGGGGAGGAAGTGTCTGTGATACTCTGTCTGGCAGCCCAAGCCAACTGAGACAGAGGAGGAAACTAGAAGAGACGAGCCCAGCGTGGAGAAGGACGGGGCTGAGGACGGCATAAATGCTCCAGCCGGTCAGGGCCCACGACTCCTGCACACATCTTTTGGGACCTGCTGAGGTGTGTGCAACACAAAATTAGCTCTGTGTGTGTGCTGGGCTGAGGGAGAGAGGCAGAGAGAGACAGAGGAGGAAGGGAGAGACAGAGAGACACAGAGAGAGGGGAGAGACACAGGAGGGAAGGAGGGAGGTGGGAGGGAATGATAAAGCAAAAGGAATGAACTGTTAGTTGGCAAATCTGGGGAAAGGTTTACAGTTAGCACTTAGACCATCCTTGTAATCTTTCCTCAAAGTCGGAGACGACATCAGAATAAAAAGTTACAAAGCAACAGAACCCATAGCCACTTGCTTGTGGAGGGAAAGGCGGGCTGAGATGCCAGTCAGACACCTATCCCTGCACCTGCCTCTTCTGACCTGTGAGACTCTGGTCAAGATCCCCCTCAGCTTTTCTTCTGCCCCTCAACCTGCCTCCACTGGCCTCAGGGCCTTTGCACATACTGCTCTCGGAGCTTGGAATACTCAGGACCCACCCAGAGTCTCCTTCCCCTGTTCGTCCCTCTTCATCCTTCACAGCTCGGGGTCAGCACCCTCTCCAGCCTCCCCAATCTCTCCAACCTGGTCAGACCCCACCTGGGCACTCTCCAAGTACCATGAACCCAGCTGCAACTTTACGTTGGGTTGTGAAGTTTATGAGGGAATGGCCTGCCCCTGCCCCAGAGGAAAGGCCCCATGAGGGCATCTGTCTTGTTCTCTACGTGTCCCGAGTGTTTCGCCCAGGGCCTGGCATACAGCTGGTGCATACCATTACAGAGAATGAATGGAGAAATAGGGCAGAGAAAGCTACATCATCTCTGGGCTGCCCTTTGGATCCTTAAGAACTTGCAGAAGGGCGGGAGACAAGGAAGATGCTACAAGGTCATGGCAGCGGGAGGGGCTGCGGGCACAGGGCAAGCACTCTGACACCCTGGGGAGGCTGGAAGACGCCCCCGGGAAGGGGACCACTGGGCTGGAAGGAACAGAACCGTGGGTTGTCCGGCACCAGACAGAGGTGCTTATGTGGAGACGCGGCCGGGTGCCGAATGAAGGGGCTGCACTCACTCCTCCCATGGCGGGGAAGGCAGAAGCCTTGGCAAAGGGCTGGCTCGCGTCCCGGGGCGGCACAGCAGGGCCACTGTGCCGCAGACACTGGGCTACTGAAAAGGGACAGCGACCCTCTGCAGCTGGGAGAAACTCACTTAAAAGTCATAGTTGCAGCTGCCCCGTTTTGTCTCAACAAGGGGCTTGGGAGAGGGGGTGTCTTTTAAAAGATCAGGGCGGGGGGCGTGCGAGTGAACGAGATATGGCGAAGAAGCGTCCAGGGTGGGGGGCAATGTATTTGGGCAGCCCTCGTCATCTAGAGGGCCCATCCCGGCCGCCTTGCCCTGCGCGCCTCAGAGAATTCTTCCAGCAACTCTGTGAGTGAGGCATTATCGACCCGATTCACAGACAGCACAACTGAGGCACGAGGAAGCCCTCGGCACCCTCAGCGACGGGGATCCTCTTTTCTAGGGTGAGCACCCTCCCTCCTCCGTCTGTTCCTTTCCAGGCAGTTATATAATGAGCTCTCGGACAGCATCCCCTGGGGCAAAACCCTCGCACTAAAGGAGGGCACAGGTGCACTTTGTGTCCAGCCATCGGATTAGGGGAGCCTGTGCCGACCCGTGTTTTCTCTTACCCAACACCACCCAGCAGAGCGAAGAGAGGGACACAGGCCTGGTGGCTCATGCGTCCTGGCACTGGAGGCCCACGGCTTCCTTCCTACCCGGTTTCTTATTCCTACCAGTGGCCGTCACCCGCTCAGCCGGTGTCTCCTGAGTGCCGACTGTATACCAGAGTCTGTCTCTGTGCTGCCGGACGACAGCGATCCAACCAAAGGCCCCTGCTCTCGCGGGGCTCCATTTGGGGGGGGAAACAGACCACACACGAGATACGCATGGACAATATTTAGGGTATTAGGCTCACCGCAGGGTCTCCTGGGGCTGCTGTGACAAATGACCACACACTTAGGGGCTTAAAACGACAACAGATTCATTCTCTTTTGATTCTAGAGGCCAGAAGTGAGGCTGAGGTCGGTTTCACTGGGCGGCAGGCAAGGTGTGGGCAGGCCTGGCTCCTTCCGGAAGCTCTAAGGGAGAATCTGCTTTTGTCCCCTTTCCAGCTTCCAGAGGTGCTCCTCCCCCTTGGCTCGTGGCCCCTCCCTCCTGTGACACCAATCTGTCACTTCCGTCGCCTCTGCCCCTACTCCTGAGTCGAGTCTCCTGCCTCCTCTCAGAAGGACCCTGGGATGATATGGAGGGCTCACCTGGATAATTCAAGGTCATCTCCCTCTTTTCAGATCCTTGGCCTAAACACGTGCAAAGTGTCTTTGCCCCAGAGGGGCACATTTTCAGAGTCCAGGGATTAGGACACGGACATCTTTGGGGGCCACTCCAGGGATTTTAAGCAGGGCTAGGGCAAGATGCCTCCGGCTGCCACAGGTAAAAACACACCCTCACCCGGATTCGTGGGAACACCCGTAAGAATATTAATCGTCCACGAGGCAGTTGTAGAAGAATAGCATGGGAATGGGAGCGGCGGGGGGGGGGGGGGGAATCCATCTTAAATAATTCGGCAAGTATTCATTATGTGCCCGGCGTCCCCCAAGCCCCACCTCAGAGAGGCGGTGGGCACCTACCCGACCCCCGCCCCGCCCCCAGCAAGGGCTGTACCTGGGAAGGCCTTCGTCCTGCCATTCTTCCTTCACGTCCACATTTTCCATCCGGAGCGTAGCTTCAGTGGTCCCCATGGGAACAGAGGAGAGGCGCGCTGGCTTGAAGCAGAGCTGAGTCCTGAAGGAGAGCCACGTGGAGGTTTTACTGGACGGTCATCGTAATAACAACCCCCGCCCCCCACGTGTGGCACCTCAGATCGGTAAGAGTGTTGGATCCGTTATTATATTGAATCGTCGTCCAGCCCCATGACGCAGGTGAGAAAACAGAGGTGTAGAGGGCTGATGACATCCACGTAGGTCTGGAGTTGGGACCCAGGTGCGAGCTGAGCCCCCAGATATAAGAGCCCTTCGCTTCGAAGCTCCAAAGTCCATGCTCCTTAGGGCTCATCATCCCTCCCTTACCTTGGACTTAAACTGGGCAGCAATAAATCCAATTAAAATCATTTATACTAAAGTGTCAGTGACTGATATACTTAAGCTTCCTTGCTGGGACCGACACTTTCAAACCCTACCTCTATCTTCTCCAGGCTACCTGCCTTGCCTCTCTGTCCCCGAATAAAGAAGCAAATCCTGGCAACCTGCTGGGGCCAACGAAGGCAGTGTGGAAAGAGACTGGGGCTGGAAGTCGGGATCATAATTCTTATCAAGCACAAAGCTCAAGTTTTGTTTTTATTATTCTGAGGAGCTGGGGCAGGATGGCGGACAGCATGCTACATGGTGCCTTAACAGCTGGGCTGTCTGGAGCAGTCAGAGGTGCAGAATGAGGCAGAATTGGGGTCCACCCTGAGGCATGCACGACTCCGCCACTCACCCCTCCCAGCCTCAGTTTCCCCATCTCCAAATTAAAGAGCTGGACTAGAAATCATCTTTACAATACCTTTGGGGCATAACCTTCCAGGATCCTGTAACTCAGTCAACACCATGGGTTCTGTGCCTTTAAACCAGTGGCTTTCAACTGGGGATAATTTTGCCCTGCCCCTCCCTGTCAAGGGACGCTTGGCAAGTCTGGAGGCATTTTTGGTTGTCACAACGTGGGGAGGGGGCTCCTGGCCTTAAGGGGGTGAGGGCCAGGGATGCTGCTCAACACCGTTAGGCGCGTGTGCAAGCTGGGCCCCCAGGACCGAGAAGGATCCAGCCCCAAAGTCCACGGATCTGAGATGGAGAAAGCCTGTCTCGATCGCATGCTTGCGAAAGGTCCCCGGGCAGGGTTTGACAGTCCTTATAGAGGGCCCGCTGCGTCTCTGCATCCCCTCCTCCAAGCAGCTCCTGGGTTGTTAGTCTCACACGCCAGCACCAAAGGCCCCTGTCCCCAGCCCCTCACCCTTCCAGATGCCACGGCGGCCCCTCGGCAGAGCCGGTGCACGGCTAACGGTTTGGGTGGGTCGTCTGAAGCCCCTGGAGGTGGGGGTCTGCATTTGGGGTCGTGGGACGGAGACGAGGACCCAGAGGGAGCCTGGGCCAGGAGACGGCCAGGCAGGGGGGAGGGGTGGCTGGCTAAAATTAGACACCCTCCCCGCCCCCACCAAGACACACTTGGGAAACAGTGTCCCACCGGATTCTTGTCGCTGCTCTGAATGTCGTCATCCATTCATGGAGGAGGGACAGTAAGACGCAGTACGCCAAAAAAAAAAAAAAAAAAAAAAAAAAAAAAAAGAAAGAAAGAAAGAAAAACCTCTTCCCGATGCCTGGGGTGATAACCACCACCCAGGACCTTACTGCAAGGGGAAGTTCTGGTCAATGGAAATTCATTTCCTTTCGGAAGACAGGGGTGTCTGCCTGGTTTTCCTCACCCCAAGCGGGGCGTGACCTCAGCCCCCCGGAAGGACGCCCCCCAATCCCACCCACAGCGGAGGCGCTGGACCCACGCAGGCCGGGGCCACAATCCTGTACAGGTGGCGTGTGGGTCCTGCGCGCTCCTGTTCTAAGATCCTGACTTCACTCTGAGGGAAAATGAGGCAAAGTGAGGGGCAGCCCAGAGGTGTGCCTTTGCGCTGGGGCGCTGAATCCTCAGTGCATGGCGTCCAGGTGCAGACAGAGGGGGAGGGATCCGCCTTCAACCTTCTCCCTGCCTCCCCGCCCCGTAGGCGAGCCTCCGCGTACACATCCATCAAGTCTGTCTGTGTCTGTCTCTCTTTCCAAATCCGCTCACGGTGTTATAAATAGACAATGCACAGAGGTGGGGCGTGTACGTTTGGGTCTCTTAGGAAGCGTCCCAGAGAGAGGCTGAGGGTTTTATCAGCCTAATCTCCAAGCGCGTCCCGAAAATGGTGCATCCCCCTGCCTTCCAGGTGAGCGGTGGGCACGGAAGGCGGGCTCTGGGTGTATATGCCCGCGGCCGCTTTCCCTCGGCTTCGGGAGACAGGGCTGTGCTACCGTGCAGAGAATCCCAAGACCGTGGGTCCCGGCTCCCAGCCGCCCCACCTGCCCGGAGGGGGTTTGCAACAGCGGATGTCCCCGCCCAGGCAAACGTGCCCGGGCAGGGCCGGGACGAGGAGAAAGGGGACTCACCTCCGCGGCCTCTGCGGGTTACGCGCAGACAAAGGCGAGCCCCGCGCCGACGCAGCCGGACATCCCTCGCCTTCCGAGTGCGGTCCCTGGGCCTTCAGAGCATCCGAGGAAGGTGCGCGCAGCGGCGGACTCTGCACGCAAGGAAGGTCACCCGGAGCAACGTGGCGGCGCAGACGGGGGGGCGCTTTTGTCCGGAGGTGGGGAACGGACGCAGTTCGCAGTCAGCCGGCTGCCCCTCGCCCCGCTGCGAGCGCGCCCCCGCACCGGCCCCGGCGCCCGGCCGTGCCTCCGAGGTGTTTTCTTCCGGCCAGCTCGCAGCTGGCGGAGGCTCGGCTGCCTTAAGACAGTTAATTATGCTGCTTTTGTGTGCAGGGTGGGTGGGTGGGTGGGGGCAGGGCTGACCGAAAAGCACAGCCCCCTGCCAGAATCCGGTGCTCTCCATTGGCTGAACGGGGAGTGTTTCCAAGGGCCTCACCGGGGGCAGAAGCGGAAATGATTTCCTGATGGCGCATCGCGGATTTAAAAACAAAACAAGGAGCAAACAAACAAACAAACAAACACAGGACGGCGGTGGCCTCATTCCTTAGATTAGGAAGGAGGGAGGGAAAGCGTCCCGAGGACCACGTTACGTGGGGCCCCCAGCCGTGTGCCAAGGACCCGGCCGCGTGCTGGGGAGGCAGAATCTTCCCGGCCACGCTTGCTCGGGCCACCGATGGAAAGGCGCCCCCTACAGTTGTGCGCTCAGCGGCCCTGCCCTGGAGGACTCCAGCCTGACAGTATAATAGTATCACGAGTTGCAGCTTCTGAAATTAGAAGGAGGTTTGGACCCTGGTTAGGCGGCTGCCTAGCCGGGAGACACGACCGCGTAAGTGACCTTCGCTGCTGGGCCTCAGTTTCCTCACCTGCGAAATGGGAACATCATGGTACTGGCGTTTCGGCATTCAATGAGATCGTGTAGGAGAGCGCTTAGCACAGTGCCTGAGAACGCTTCGCTACCTGTTTCTCGCCCTTGCTGTGTCGGGTTTTAGACCTGTAGCAGAGGCCGAATGGTGGTCCCCAGAGGATATGGCAGCTCTTATCCTGACCCCTGGAACTTGGGAATATGACCTGATTTGGAAAAAGGGTCTTTGCAGGCAGAATTGAGGATCCAGTACCCTCATTTTGAGATGAGAGCATCTGGATTGAGGATAAATCCCAGAGCCAATGCCAAGTGTCTTTACCTCTGCAAACCAAGGAGAACCAAGGATTGCCAGCAACCACCCGAAGCTGGGCAGGCATGGAATGCATTCTCCCTCACCGCCTCCAGAAGGAACCGACCTTCATTTTTGACGTCTGGGCTCTGGAACTGTGAGAGAATTTTGATTTCTATTGTCCTAAGCCGCTTGGCTTGTGGTGCTTTGTTACAGCAGTCCCAGAAAACGAACACACCCTGAGTAGCAACCAATGCCCATTACTCTGCCCTGCCTCCCTTAATCACTGCAGTGGCTTTCCACCCGTTTTGTGAACACATCAAGTTCATCCCCACCACGGGGCCTTTGAACATGCTGTTCCCTCTGCCAGGAATGCTCTTCCAGAAGAGGTTCACATTATTCAGGTGCCAGCTCAGAAGTAGTCTCCTCAGAGAGGCCTTCCCTAACCACCCCTACTTTGCCCCCCAATTCATCACCCCATTCCATTGCCCAGTCTGATTTTTTTTTAGTACATACATTAGTATAACTGCTGGGTCATACGCTAAGGAGCCTGACTTTTCCCCCACAGCACTTACCACTATTTGAAACTGCCTACTTATTTTTTGTTTGTTTGTTTATTCTCTGACTCCCTAGCTAGAATGTAAAATTCAAGATAAATGAGATTTGGGTGGTCTGGTACCCTGCTGTGTTCTCTGCAGAGGTCAGCAGCACCTGGCACAAAGGGGAGGTCCAGGACATGCAGGTAGAACGTGTCGATGTCGGCTCCCCCCGCCCCGTGGATACCAGACAACACTCTACTCACCTTGCTGCCAAAGTCACTGCATCAGGGTCTGTGCCCCTCCAAGCCAAAGGCGGAAAGGCACTGCCCCACGGCAGGGGATGAGAGCCTGGAGCCTGAAGCTCGAGATCCATCGGACTTTACGCGCCCTGGCTGGAGGAAGTGGAGCCCTGGGAAGAGACGCGTGTGTTAATTCAGTGGGAAATCCAGGCCAGTCCTCGTGCTGGGCACTGGGGTCCAGCGTGTGAATGAGAAAGACTTCGCTTTTGTCCAACTCCCATTTGGAGAAACAGATGGGCAAAGGAGTCTGGGCTGATTTAGAGACATCTTTGAAGCAGAGTGGCTTGGGGGAGGGTGCATGGGAAGACGTTCAGGGGCAGAGGGCGGGCAGTGACGATGTGAGTTGCGCCCTGAGAAGTGAGTAGGAGTTGGATGGATGAAGGAGAAAATCTGGGCAGAACGGCGTTTGCAAAGCGACCTCCCCTCCCTCACGAGAGCGCGCGGGGAGCTGTCCGTGGTGCTGTGGCCGCCGCCAAAGAGCCGGCGCGTGAACCCAGCTTGTCTGGTTTACTTTTCACCGTGGTTAAAATACACATACAGAACATAAAGCTTGCCATTCCGATAATTTTTAAGCGTGAAATTCAGTGGCATCAATTACATTCACCATGTGCAACCATCACCACAATCCATCTCCGGAAATTTTCCATCTTCCCAAACTGCAACTCTTGTCCCCATTAAATACGAACTCACCTTCCCCGTTAGCCATTCCCCCATAAGGTAAGCTTTCTGAGATCAGAGGTGTTGCACTTTGTCCCTGCTATCTCTCAGATCCCTAGCCAGTGGTTCTCACGGCGGGGCGGGGATTCTGTGCCCCATGGGAGGTTTGGTGATGTCTGGGAACGTTTTTGGTTTCCATTACTTGGGGGATGGAGACGGTACTGACATCGAGTGTGTGAGACCAGAGATCCTGCTCAGCACCCTACAAGGCACATGACAACTCCCCATGACAGAGAATTACCTGGCCCCAAACGTCACCAGTGTGGGGTGAGAATGACACCCGAAACGTAGTCAGATGCCATTATACTGAATCGAGGCAATGAAATTGCTAATGCTCCGGGGCACCTGGGTGGCTCAGTTGGTTAAGTGTCCAACTTCGGCTCAGGTCATGATCTCACGGTTTGTGGGTTTGAGCCCCGCGCTGGGTTCTGTGCTGACAGCTCAGAGCCTGGAGCCTGCTTCAGATTCTGTGTCTCCCTCTCTCTCTGTTCCTCCCCCACTTGTGCTCTGTCTCTGTCTCTCAAAAATAAATAAAAATGTTAAAAAAAAAATTAAAACATGTTAAAAAAATTTTTTAACGCTCCTGCAAAGGGGATTGATTAATCACGGACATTCGATCCTCATTATTAGTTGTTTCCGTATTTGTGAATTTGCCTACTGGCTGAAATTTAGTGGTAACATTTGTAAGACTCAAATCAATACTCATGGTGCCTTCAGGGTCATTTGCAGACAAGGAAGTGTGATGAAAAATTTGAGTGCTGGTTGTACATGTTCCCAGGTGAGTTCGAACAAGGCACCATTTTGCCTTCTGATCCAGCCCAGATTGTAAACTGCCCATTTCGGGATGTATTTAGCACCATGATTTTTGTGCTTTACGTTGGTGGTTTTGCTGTTTATAGTGGCCCCCGTGCACGGTCCTGAAGGGCTGTCTAGCATTTCCAAGCACAAGAAGGTCGGGGTGCACCTTGCGGTGATAATAAGAGTGTTAGTTAAGCTTCATTCAGTCATGAGTTACAGTGCTGTTGGCTGTTCATGATCAGTAATGTATATTAAATAAGATGCCTTTGGACAGAAGCACACAGAACACAAGGTTATGTATTTGATCTGTTGGTAAAAAATAATGTGAGCAGAGGCTTGCAGGAACCCACTCAAGTGTCTCCCCAGGAGTGGGGCTTTACGATTCCCTATTCTAGGGCTTGGGCCACTTTATAGGACAAGGCTGCTGCCAATAATGAGAATCAACTCTATCTACTTCTGAGGGCTATGTAGGGATAGATAAGATTGTGCATGCAAAAAGAATTGAACACAATGCTTGTAGTAAATAACAGGAGGGAAAAAAAGATATTATGTAACCCAGAGAAAACATTAAAACAGACCTGCTTTTGTATAAAGCATGTAGCCTTTGTTACCTAGCTAGAGCTGCAGGGAATTGGAGGAAAGCGGTGTGTAATTACCACTCTGAGCGTTAGCCAGGGCATGGTGGGAGAGCTGCTTTTGCCAGACCCTGTAGATTGTTTCTGGTGGCCACACATGGTCATGAAGACACAAAGGGAAGAATGCCATCCACTAAATCACCATACGGCTTTCCTCGGCACCCTGGGCTTGCCATGGTTTCTGTCCAAGAATTAACTAGCCCTGTGCCTGCTTCATAGAAAGGAGGAAAGGAACCCCATCCCACCAGAGTTGGTGAATGTATTTTTCTAATTCATTTTTTAAATATTGAAATAATTGTAGATTCACATGCAGTAAGAAATAACAGAAAGATCCTGTGTACCCGTTCCCCCAATTTACCCAACGGTAAAATCTTACACAAGTATAGTACAATATCACTATTGCTTTCAATACAGTTGAGATACAGGACATTTTCTCACGACAGGATACCTCCTGTTGTCCTTCTATAGAGGTCCCTTCTATAATGCCCGTATCCTCCCCTGCCATTTCCTTAACCCTAGACATCACAAATATGTTCTCCATTTCTGTAACTTTGATGGTTTAAGAGTTTTAATTTTTTTTCAACGTTTATTTATTTTTGGGACAGGGAGAGACAGAGCATGAATGGGAGAGGGGCAGAGAGAGAGGGAGACACAGAATCGGAAACAGGCTCCAGGCTCTGAGCCATCAGCCCAGAGCCTGACGCGGGGCTCGAACTCACGGACCGCGAGATCGTGACCCGGCTGAAGTCGGACGCTTAACCGACTGCGCCACCCAGGCGCCCCAAGCAGCACACTTTAAATGGGTATGTGAATTCTATCTCGGTAAAGCTGTTATTAACCAAAAAAGCACCCTAACTGTAGTTCATAGTTTGTAAGTGCTGCAGAGGACGGGCACCAAGGAGTTTTGTTCACTGTTGCGTCCCCCAAGGTAGCCAGGCTTGGCCAAGAAATCTCTCTCAAAATGACTTCCACTTAGAATAGGGTTTCTCAGCCTGGGCACTGGTGACTTTGGATCCGGGTCGTTCCATGTGGGGCGTTCGGGGCGATGTGGAGGCTGAGCAGCATCCCTGGCCCCCACCCACTCAATGCCAGGAGCCCCCCAGTGTGACAATCACAGATGTCCCTAGACAGCGTCCAGTGTCCCCTGGGGGCAAACCCCTCTGGTCGGGAACCACTAGTTTAGGGTCACCAAATTTTAA